CATGTCTCCACACGAACGACCTGGATCGAGTCGTCTGTAACATTTACAAAGTGAGCCATATCCATAGTGTTGCCAGGATAAGGTACCCAGCCTTATCCATATACTATAGACCCTTTAGGTTATTAACGGGACATTATCCATTCATATATCAGGGGTATATCAAATATATACCCCGTATATGAAATATATACCCAGTATATATACTGTCCCGATTACATTAAAATAACCTTGGATGTTTAGTTTATTGGATTTGGACAATGCAATGCTATGTTTCAACAACAAATTTATTGAATAAAACTTTATTAAATAGACATTTGTTTTTACAAAATACAAACTACGAGTTTAGGGCAACACACCCAACAATATGGACTTCAGATTCTAAGACTATATGATAGAACATGGAATCACGTCCCAACTCTCAGCCCCTGGTACACCTCAACAAAATGGTTTACCAGAAAGTTGAAACAGAACCCTGTTGGACATGGTTCAATCGATGAGGAGCTATGCTCAGTTGCCTAACTCGTTTTGGGGTTACGTAGTGGAGACTGCGGTTTACATTTTGAACGTAGTTCCATCAAATAGTGTTTCTGAAACACCCTTTGAGCTATGGAAAGATCGTAAAGCTAGTTTACGTCACTTCCGCATTTGGGGATGTCCGGCACAGGTGCTCATGACTAACCCAAAGAAACTGGAGCCTCGTTCAAAAGTATGCCTATTCGTAGATTACCCTAAAGAAACGAGAGGCGGTCTTTTCTTCGATCCACAAGAAAACAGAGTATTTGTATCGACAAACGCCACCACCTGATATACGAGGTATATGTTTGATATACCCCTGATATACGAGTGGATAATGTCTTGTGAATAACCTAAAGGGTCTATAGTATATGGATGAGGTCGGGTACCTTATCTTGGCAACACTATGGATACGGCCCACTTTGTAAATGTTACAGACGACTCAATCAAAGTCGTCCGTGTGGAGACATGCGAGTGGGGGTATCCTATACAATGAGTTTGTATAAGACCAGACTGCAAAATAGCCAATCTTTAGATGTATTATCGTTAACTAACAGATTGCTATTTCTTAGGATGACCAGACAACTCATTCTCAATCCTGAGTGAGTTATGGACTCCTGCCCATTAGGGCTCGTCGTTTGATCTGTATGGGTGAGAGTGGCTCAAAACGCCGACTCAATATTCCTACCATTTTGGGGATGAGATAGAGTGGGGAGCTGGGAACATAACTTCACAAGATGAAATTCACTTCTCCCCGACTTTAAGGAGTAGATGAGTGTTCTCTTAAATGCTAACTCCGACACTTGAACAAGGGGCCCCACCCTCTCACTGGCCCGAGAGGTACTTTCGGTTATTGGTCGAACCATAATCGGGTTGTTCGTTAGAGGAGCAGTGGTATTTAAAGAGCAAGATGTAACAGAGGGGTAAAATGGTAACTTGACCCATCTGTTGTTACGAACACTCGTGAAGGATTGACTTGTCATTTATGGTCGTATATCCATGGACAATAAAACATTCTGCAGTGAGAAGA